GTAATAAGAGTGTAGAGGTCTTATTGCAACTATATCTATCTATATATATATATATATATATATATATATATATATATATATATATATATATATATATATATATATATATATATATATATATATATATATATATATATATATATATATATATATATATATATATATATATATATATATATATATATATATATATATATATATTTTTTTATATATGTGAATCACACACTTGGGAACTTCGTGTTTTCTTTTTCCTTGTGGTTATCAGCATATACCTGGATCACGTGCACCTACAGAGATTTATTTGCATATATATATATATATATATATATATATATGTATTATGGGTGGGGTTAAAAAATCTTAGGGCGGCAGTGCATGCCGCGTGTCAACAAAAAATTTTCCCGTGCCAACTTTGGCACGCGTGCCAACTTTGGCACGCGTGCCATAGGTTCGCCACCCCTGCCTTAGGAGATATACAGAAATACCGGAGTCTTTCATAGAGTACACAAAAAGAAAATGGAGAACTAAGACAAACTGAAGTGGTTAGAGGTCGGATGTCTCTATTGGGGGACTGAAAAGTTCATATTTTTTGTGGGCGATGTAGCATAATATGAATAGTTTTTTTTTTACGGGGATCAGCCCACCCGGGCACAGGTCAATGACCCACATCGGGTTATGGGGGGCGAAAACGTAATAATAATAATAATAATAATAATAATAATAATAATAATAATAATAATAATAATAACAATAATAATAATAATAATAATAATAATAATAACAATAATAATAATAATAATAATAATAATAAAGAATCACAAAAATGAAAAAAAAGATAAAAGTGAGCAACAATATATGTATGTTGTGTTGTCAAAGTAAGAGAAACAATTGAGACCCTGCAATTGTGTGTAAATGAAGCAGAAAGTCAGATCAACAACCTGGGACTTGGTCACAATTTTCGTGATGCCATATGGCAACAGGGTCTACCATTAGACAACACATTATGCTTCCAATATCTTCCCAGGCGGTAGCATCTCCCTGTTTGGTAGCTTCCTACTACCTACTACCTTTAAGCGTTGAACGGACAAACCACGTTATGTGACCTTGACACTACAGTGACGAGTTACGACTAGTCACGAGTTACGATAGGTCAAGAGTTACGCCCACTATCACGAGTTATTACCACAGTCATGAGTTAAGACCACAGTCACGAGTTACGACAGGTCAAGAATTACGACCACAGTCACGAGTTACTATCTCAGTCATGAGCTACGACCACAGTATTAAGTTACGACCACAGTTATGAGTTACGACCAGTCAAGAGTTACGACCACAGTCACGAGTTACTACCACTGACACGAGTTAGTATCACAGTCATGAGTTACGACCACAGACACGAGTTATTACCACAGTCACAAGTTACTACTACAGTCACGTGTTACTACCATAGACACGAGTTATTACCACAGTCACGAGTTACGACCACAGTCATGAGTTATAACCACAGTCACGTGTTACTACCATAGTCACGTGCTACTACCACAGTCATGATGCTACAATGTGGACAATGTTACCAACATTGTAACTGTAATGAGACAAATCTCACAAGAAGAAGATTACATATAGGTAGAATATTGATAGTATAAGAGTATAAAGAGAGGAAGATTTTGGTAGCGTGGCCGTGATAGATATTTACACTTATCGTATCTTATACGTCAATACACATCTATTACGTCTTAAGGGCGACTTCTCAAACACCGCTTCGTTACAACTCTTTATTAATTACGAACATGACATGGACACATTAATAACACCTTCTATTGAAGTTACTAGGACATTATATTTACGTTACTAGGACATCATATTACGTTACTAGACACTCTGATTCGGACACGAACATGAAATGAATACACTTCCCACGTAAGTAACTCATCCCATGGAAAGCTCTGACAAACACTCACGTGACCTAGGGGAGGCCTAGCAGGTGGTCCTGGGTTGTCTCTATGGGAGACTGCTTAGCTGGGCGCCGGAGGGAAGTCTCGGTCCTGACCGGAGGCGACTGGAGGCGACCGGAGGCGGCTTGCCTCCGGCCCCTGACTTCTCTCGAGCAGGACTCGGGACGTGGTAGCTGGTCCTTCTTGGTTACAAGACACACTCTCTCTGTCCCTCTCTGGCTCTCTGTCTCTCTCTGGTCTCTCTCTCTGCCGAGGGAGGACTAGGATGTCCTATATATTGGGAGGCGAGCCCTCAGGTTGAGCTGATGGGGGGGGCGGCGAAGGGTCTCCTTACATTTGCCCTCGCTAATGTAGGGTCAGGTCTGGACTTTTTCAGAGACTATAAGTTGTATCTTCTGGAGAAGTCATCAGATGGGGCCGTGACATGAGAGGCCCTGGTTGATTTGTGGCCCCTTGAGTTGGGCTCCGAGGGTTACATTTGACCTGGCTAATGTGAGGTCAGGTCTGGACTTCTTTCTGCGGTGTAGGTTATTGTATATTGGGAGAGAGTCGGCTGGTGCCCTCTTACATGTTTGTTGTGGTGCCGTGTCACATGGGAGGGGAGCCTAGCTGATTTATAACCCTTGGTCAACCGTGAGAGTTACCCTACACTTGACCTCCCTAATGTCGGGTCAAGCCTGGACTGTCTCTGAGATGCAAGCTGCGGTCTGACAACCCATCACTACATAACGTTGTTGTGGATCCAATGCAAACATTGTCGGTAACATGTGTCAGCTACATTATTATAAGCAATGTTGTGACGAATTCACGAAAATATTGGCTACATAATAATTGGGAACAGTTTACGTAACAAAACTGTTTCCCGTTGATGAGTTTAGTGTTGGCAATACTGTTAGGTAGCAGTATTGTAGACTACAGTTGGCAGCACCCTCCACAGGTACTACATATGCAGTTGCCCACACTTCCACATGGTGCAGTTAGTGTTGTCAATCCTCTCTCTTCATGATTTTTGAGGCTGCAGTATGAATAGTCGGAACCCAAGTAACGAAGAGTCAGTGCCAGTCTCTCTGTAACTGATATTGCCTTTCTGTAATTTGGATCCAGTTCACCTATTAGAGGTTAATTTTCTGCATCACATATTCAAATCAGCGATGGACATCTTGCAAAGTCCTGGAAGCAACCACTAACTCTTACTTGAGAAGTCAATAGCCCAAAATCGTCACGTTTAAGCCACCAATTACATCGTCCTTTTTTTTTCAACTCTCTCGTGGTGTAAGAATCAACCGAAGAAAGTAACAGGGCTGCTGCTCATCCGATTGTCTGTATCCGATCACGTTTTCTTGAAAGTAATTGGGAGTTCTTTGTAGAAAACTTTCAAATGACGATGTATAACGTAGATATTTTGAGCACTATGAACACGTCCAATAAAGGGCAAAGAGAAAACAGAAAACAGGGTCCGGATCCCCTTTTTCATCAGAAAATTCCAATACATTTTCATTAGTGCAGTATTGTCCTCAGGCGTCTTTGTATAGTAAAATGTAATTTCTATTGACTTCAGAATATCTTCCAATATCAAGTGCACATGGCCTCAATATGGCCTGAAAATGCCCGTATTATTGGTCAGATTAAAAAAAAAATCTTTGGTGCTTCCAACGCCCCCCCTCCCCCCACCTGGGTGGGCTCGCTGTGCTCGCCATGTTCTCCCCCCCACAGCTTCTTGGACCTCCCCCTTTTGATATTCATGGATCCGCCCCTGCACGTTTGAATTAATGTTGTTTAATGAACAAAAAAATATAAATACGCATATACCTGTTACATACATATATACGAGTATGTAAAAATCAATCCATTATTTATTCATTATTTCAATCAGTTGTTGTACAACCGCAATATTGACATTCATACAACCTCCTTTACACTTATTCTTTTATAGTGATAAGGGCATTTAGCGTTTGCATTTGCAAGGAGTTTCTACACTTTGTTTCGGTAAGGTTCAATTTTGAAAATAGTCTTTCAGCATCTGCATTAGATGTTGGCAATGCCAAGACGTCCAACGCAAATCTTCCAATTACCTCATCTTTGAGGTTCCCGACGTCATCTTTAATTTTCATTACTTTTTTATAAAAAAATAAAATATCCAAGCTTTTTGTTTCGTCATCTTTTGCCTCCCAACACAGTCTTTGCCACTGATCCTTTAACTCCTGAAGGGTTCTATTAAATATCCTTGGTGCCAATATAACCAAGTCTGACAATGATGTTCTTGGAGTCGTTGGATCTAGGGCTTTCTGGGGATTAAGAAAAGAGACAAGTATAGAAATGGATCATTGATGTTAAATCTTTTTTCATTTCTGTGCACATTACCATCAAGAAGTTTTTGCATCTCATATTGATATCTTATATTAAGGTTTGATTTTCTGCAATATCCGGTCTATTTTTATATAGTTGGGCAATTTCTTCCTTTATTATTATAGGGTATTTAGGCCAAAAAATACAGTTTCTTGAAATTTCCGAAATTTCCGATCACGGATAGTGACACGTCACCAAACCGATGGAGTTGTGTCCGTTTTCTTTCATCCGACTAGTCACTAGCAGAAGCAATTTCCGACGAACGGTCGCCCTGTTAAGTGACGGCTTGAACCTCATTCGCCGACACCGTGTTGTCAAATAAACTGGCTGGTGTGGACGATAGGATTACTACACCTATTTTTAACAATGTTGCCTACAATGTTAAAACAAAATATGTACCGTTGGTGTGAATTCAGTTTCAACCTTGTTGCCAACAATATTACCATCTTTGGTCGAAACTCTAAACAACAATGTTCGTAACACTGTTGTGTTAGTGTAGATATGTCTGTATTCAACGTTGTTGCAAACACTGTTAGTAGCTTTTGTCCGGAATGTTTACAACAATATTCATAACCCTGCTACGTTGGCGTGGGCGTGAATCTCAACATTGATGATAACACAGTCACCAATACATGTTACAAACAATGTTTGTGCTTGGTGTGGCTCCACCCTAACGTTTGTGTCTTCTCCCTTCGTCAGCGTGGCCAGCAGTGAGTCTCAGCAACATGATTCGCCTGGCGTTGGTGTGGCACGTTGGGGGTCTATACAGCGACAATGACGTGGTGTGCATCGCTCCTCTAACCCACCAGAAGAACGTCATAGGGCTCTACGATGACACGAATGTGAACAACGCTGTGTTTCACTTTGATAGACACCACCCAATGCTGGAGGCCTTCATGAGTCACCTTAACGAAAACTTCAGCGTGCGTAATGTCCTCCTTTAAGACTTTTATCGTTATTTCTAGTGTTAGTGTTTCTCTCCAGCACATTTCGTTCACTCTGTATCTTGAGAATGCTACGCTCACTTTTGTTCACACTTAGAGCGTAAGGTCACCAACTAGAGCTTAAGAGTGGATAATTTTAAGATCATCTCTACCTACTCTTAATACACAAATGAAAAAGCAAGTGACTTCTTAACACTCTACATCTGGAGTTACCTTCTCATTGTATGTAGCCATGTTTGGGGCTGTCTGAGTCATCCCAATGCATGTTTATGATGACGATTGGGACCACTACTCGGCTACCAATGTCTTCTTATTTACCTTTTTATGCAATTACATTTGTTTGTTTAGACCCTACGCTAAATAGGGATAATCGCTGATTAAATTTTAAAACGAAACTAATGTTTTTATCAAATTGGGAAACGTTTTCCGTTTATTGCTTCAACTTAACAGAAATTAGTGCGTATGTGGTAAAATTTGATATTTTTCACTTAAGACATTTTTTACCAATATAAAACAGCCAAATTATACTTAGTGTCGGTTAAATAAAGTTAGGTTGCGTTAGGTTTTCAATAAACTATTCACTTTTATGTGTTTTGATGATTTATGTAGTTGTCTATGGCATATCGTTTCTAACAAGAAGAAATATATAGAAGTTATCGCTATTTGGCCAACATCCCTATTTTGTGTAACATATTATAATCATGCATTTTCTACCTAAATTATCAAGCTACAAAAAAATGACCTGAAACACTGAGTTGTACAATCTTGCCCTCTTTTCCCCTTCAGCCGAACGTGTGGGGGTTTAACGGACCAATGATGATGACGAAGGTGCTAAAGACCGCATGCGGCAAGGAGCTGGCTGCTGGGGACGTGTGTCAAGGGGTGACACTACTGCACAAACGAAACTTCTACCCCTTGCCTGTTGCAGAATGGAAGATCTTCTTCACAGCCCTGAAGGGCGTGGATGTGCATAAGGTACAGTAGGGGTCAGGAATTCGCGATGAGTCTAACCGGAGGGTGAGCAGGCTGTTATACCCTTACTTGATAGCGAGTCGCTGTGCTGAACCTTCCCACCAACACACAGTGTAGAACTGTTAACGAAGCAGTGATTCAGGTCAAGACTCAACACATGAGATGGAACGGAGGATATTTATGAATATGAGCCGAGAACGCTGTTGATGAGTGATGAAGAGTGATGCTAACATCATATTTACAAAATGGAGAAATCATATAGTATACAATATGTGTGTGTCGTGTCCATTTACCTGTATATCTCAGAATATAATGGAGGGAGTTGGATGTGTAACAGCATAAGCCAGTGGTCGCATAACATCAAGCTACGGTAAGTGAAGCGCCAGGTAGAAAGGATAATAACAACATAGCCCTAAAGAGTATTTATGTTGACTGCACATACAGTACAAAAACCGATCCATCATTAATATGAAGATTGCGAAATGTTCCTTATAATAAACTTCATGCTAGGAATTTAACGTAAATATTGCGACTATATACTGTGTTACTTAACAGAATATTGCCAGCAGAGATTACGTCACTTCTCTGTAAAAGGGAATCTTCATCGAACATGTGTTCCTGTATAACATCAGAAATTATTTCCAAAATTATGTTGAATATTCCTTTAAGCTTTATAGTACATGACAATGTTTAGTTTGAGATGAATAGTAGAACAATGGACACAATCGTTCCATTCAGCTCTTTCCCCCACGTTATTTTTTTTAACTGATCTAAAGATTTGCACGAAATACAAATATAGTACAGACTAGTACAAACAAGAGAAATGGAACGTCTTTAAATTCGAGGAAAAGGAAACATGTAATGATTCTGTAAAACATTATGTCATTACAGTGTATGCTCAGAAGTTATGTAATTGCAGTTGTCATGTAACATCACGGCTGAAGGGATACCTGATCTGAGCAAAATGTACTCGTATGGCTCTAACCGCCACAAATATTGTACTATCCATTCACTGACATGGAGGAATTTCAATCCCATCTAGGGCAATCTATTTTTATTTTGTTTTTACCTGACTATTTCGGGTTGTCAATTTTGACTGCCTCTTGCCTCTATGTCATGTATTTAGTTTATTCCAGTCAAATCTATTCTAGTAATTCATTCACTAACTAAAATCGACAGTAAAGTAAGGGGCCTTTGGTCTGCGTGTATATTGCTGCTACATTAACAGCATATTTGTTACTGTGGCTTTCCAGACACATACAGACAGGTAGTAACGCCTATTGAAAATCAATAGGCGTTACTTACAAGTACATTACTGTATGGTAAATTTAATTTACAAACTTCTAAGAGCGGTAGTTTTTGTGTGTAAGGTGAAGCGTTTACAGCACCCAACAGGGAAGCATGCTAAGTTCATGCTTGCCTTTATGTCTCACGAGTTAAGGGCGTAGAAGCCTGAAGAGTCAATGGTTTATGTCTAAGCAAGTTATTGGAAGCCCCAACAACTTGTCCCTGAATACGAATTCGCAACTTTCGATTTACAGCAGGTATCTACTTTGCTGGTAGGTGAACAGGGACCAAGGGGACTAGGAAGAGTGTCCAAACAACTTCCGCCGGCCCGGGAATCGAACCCGTGACATTTTACTTGCGAGGCAAGAGCGGTACCGCTCTACCATCAGCGCCCCCATAGCAGTTGTTCGAGGTAATGAACGGCTGCCCCTCACGCCCTATCCTGATCCCCTCCTCCCCCCCACACACAGCCAACGAATGGCCATGTGCGTGTGTATGGTGTGGTAAGTTAACACAACGGGTTATGTGAAATATTACTTCCACCACATTTGTCTCTTACTCTCTCCACTCTGTATGTATGTATGTGTCTGCAAGGCCACATTAACAAATTAGATCTTAATGTAGCAACAATATACACGCAGACCAAAGGCCCCTTACTTTACTGTCGAAGGTTTTGAAGTATAATCTGGCTGATCGCTCCCAACATCGTATAAACCTCTTACATTAACCCAAGCGATAGTGTCCCTTGCAATGGTTGTTAGATCATTTAAGTAATATATGTGTTGAAGGGGAGGTTCGGCACATCAAATCGCCGTGAAATAAGGGTGGAACAGCATGATTACCCTCTGGTCTAACTATATCACGAATTTCTGATCCCGACTATACGTGAGCATTGAGCGTGGTAGTGTTGGATATTTGTTCTGTTTGAGAAAGAACACGCGGGGCAGGACATTTTTAGGTTAAATATGTCACTTACGTTTAACAGATCAAGGTAGTCCTTGTTTATTGCAATGGTTCCGTCTCTGAAAACCCTTTGGGTTTATTTGTATATACAAAAACACTTATATGTCAATAAAAGAAGCAATAAATACTTGCAGATGTATTTTAAACACAATATGGAATACAGAGGAGAGGCGTGTGCATGTTCTCTCTCTAACGGTCATTGTTCCTTCACTACGCTCACGTCGTTTATTAATATCTAATGACACTAGCTGTTTTTTTTTTCAAGTAAGGTGTACTGTATGTGGCGAAGCACTGGCGGGCGATTTATTCACTCATTATGCAAAGACATACAAAGACAATCATCCCTCCCTACAAACATGTAAAGCTCAGCACAATGGCAGCTGTACCGTCATCATCTTCCCTGCTGTGTAGTACACCCAGAAGGTTCTAATTGATTTCTGTTTAACTGGAAGTAATTCACGCTCACGGTTAAAATCTTTTCATATAACTAGACACGGTGTGATAATCGAATATTTGGGTCAGAGAAATTACTTTGTGATAAACCTAAACTACAATATGCGAATTTCTTAAAACAACGACTATGTTCTCAAAACCTAATGTGATATGTACTGTAGTTTTCACCTCAAAGATTTTACTAAAATTTCTTCTCACTAACAACAAATGTTTCCATAATATTGAATGGTCCGGTGGCAGACTGGCTAAATGGGGCGGAACCTATTTTGAGACATACAAATTTTTATTGTTGTTTTTGGTAGATTAGGCCACCGCCAACTCGCGAATACTATTTTAGGCCATATCTTGGCTTGCAATGTATTTGTAGTCTAGGAAGCTAATGGAATTCACCTAAAGAGCCAATTTCATTATTTATTTTGAAAATATTCAAAATGGCTGTCTAAATTCACCAGCAAATACTATTCCGGCCATATCTCGGCTTCTACGTTAAAGAGAGTTGATTTTGGTGGCAAAACCATTATTTCCTTTATGGAATTCAAAAAATGCATAAATCTTAACTAAGTTATCATCCTCATTATCTATATAGCACAAAGACTTAATAAAATGTACAATTTACCAAATTTCTAATACTTTGGAGCCTATAATAATTTGCAATGATTTTTCTTAACTCCTGTTTCTAATTTCAATATATAATCCCAATGTAAAATGTTCCAGATTACATTTTCAAGATTCAATCATCTAGGACTTTATTGAAAGAGCAGTGATGGTATGCAGACACAAAAAGCAGAACATGAAACCTGTGCTGAGAGACAACCACAATAAGTAGTTGAACAAGGGAGTGATGATGAACATGAGCATTTAATCATCTTTAGAAAATGCATAGGAACTGGTGACATATCTATTGGGATAGCAGCTGGTACCAACATCTTTGCTGCGGCATCCATTGACTATCCATAAAGGATGGGATTGAGATCAGGAGGGGTGTAACAGCATCATCTGTACTATATATTTACCCAAATGTATAATACCAAATTATTCACTAAGTTATTCAACAATGACTCAGTAGTTATTCACAAAGTTATTCAGCTGTGTTGAATTGCTGAAGTGACATTTTTTTTTTTTGGTTTATTGGGCACTCCCCTACATCCTTGTGTAAGGTGAAGCGCAGAAGCGTTTACAGCGCCCAACAGGGAAGCATGCTAAGTTCATGCTTGCCTTTATGTCTCATGAGTTAATGGCGTAGAAGCCTGAAGAGTCAAGGGCGGCGAAGAGCCGAAGCGTAGAAGACTTGAAGAGTCAAGGGCGCGTAGAAGCCTGAAGAGTCAAGGGCGTAGAAGCCTGAAGAGTTAAAAGGCGTAGAAGCCTGAGTTAATGGCGTAGTGAAGAGTCAAGGGCGTAAAAGCCTGAAGAGTCAGTGGTTTATGTCATCAAATTATTGAAAGCTCCAACAACTCCCTGAATACGAATTTGCAACTTTCAACTTACAACAGGTAATTACTTTACTGCTCGGTGAACAGGGACCTATGGGGGCTAGGAAGTATGTCCAAACAACTTCCACCGGCCCGAGAATCGAACCCGTGACATCTCACTTGCGAGGCAAGAACGGTACCGCTTCTACTACCGGTCCCCCGCTGAGGTGACATTCCCTTCTGGGAGCGAGCGAGGTCACGCTGGGGTCAGCGCATATCAGCAACAACATATCTGACGCGTTTCCTCTCGAGGCCTGCCAGTTCGCTCTTTCTCTCTCACTCACCCAGGGAGAGTTGTTGAATAACTTGGTGAATAATTTGGTATTATACATTTGGGCAAATATTTATATAATACAAATGGTGCTGTTACAGGATCAGCATCAAGAGAACTTCTCCAGATGGCTGCTTGTAGGTGAGCCCTGTATACAAGTTCTTCAAAAGCTTCTGTTGTTGTCCGATGCAGAGTTGAGTTTGTGATTGCACAATTTTGTTGACCATACAACATACATGTGAGTTGTCTTGTCAGTCTCACGCGGGAAGCCATAACAAGCTACAAAGCTACTTTGCTGTCACTCAGAATCGAGTATGACGATGATCCAGCTATGTTACAATGATATGAGATATTAAGGATGTCACCTAGGTTGGTGAATTTTAAGGTGGCTAAAGAGGCCGATACGGGACCGGCAGAATCGAATACAGATGCTGCACATGTGGATGGCTCCAACTAGTGCTGGGGGGAGGGGGGGGGTGGCAGCGTCTTTCCGGCACAGGCGCTTGTCTGCCTTTGTTTGCATTCGGGCTAATTCGAAAATATCAATACCTTCTCGTGCG